AGAAATTTCATTATTTAATTATTCCATAACTATTACTGTAGAAGGCAGTACCGGTAATAATAACCAACAGTTTTATCTCTATACTCTATAGGTTATATATTCTAGGTTATACTTTAACCTAGAATATATAATAGAAAGAATTAGTCTTTTGTGCAAAATAATCATTAGCTCAGCGTTAGCGTACAAGTTTGTTGTTCTAGGGATCTCAGGTTAGAATCTCGACGATGCGTTTTCAAAATTATAAATCTGCGTAATTGTAATTAATAAAATATGCGAAATAGTAAACACAAATTGAACTCTAAAAAAATAATAATAATATGTATAGACACAATGGATAATGACGATTTCATTTATTATAAATATAGCATACAAGATTTTATAAAATCTCACTCGCGATATCGTTTTCGGGTTTTTCGTCAACGCTTTCTCCCGTCTCGTCTCGTCGGCCGACTGCTTCGTCGTTTTTCGCTCGCAAATCTAGCTAGCTAGCGCGATTTGCCGCGCTTGCGCGTCGGAGAGTGGGGCGCAAGGCTTATTTTCGCAAATTAACTTAACGCCCTTGAGCGAGTCAAAGTCCATATTCCTACATATGTAATCATAAAATAAAATAAAAAAAAAGAAATTTCTTTTTATGCAATTTATTTAAGACAAAGATATACATTGTTTGAAATTCAAACAATTGTACTTATTGATTCAAACATTGATTTGTTTGAACCATTCCAAATATCAAATTTGTTTGAATACAATAAAATTTATTAAATCCAAAGAAATCGTTTTCTCTGTGTACGTTAATTGGATGCAAAATGATAAAAAGAACAAAGACGCTCTAAGTCCATAATTAAAACTGTAAATCCGTTTATCGTTGGAAAATGAGAAGGAGTGGAATCAACGATGAAAGGATTTATAGTTTTAATTTTGGACTTAGAGTGTCTTTGTTCTTTCTATCATTTTGCATCCAATTAACATATGTACATTATGTCCGTTTCTATCCAGCGTATTTTATATCAAATATATGTATATATTTCTCTAATAAATTTGTAATGTAATTTCATGCGATTGAGAAAGACCAAGTAAAGTCGAAACATACCGTTGCGTTTACTACATGTAATAAATTATCAAGTTTAACACCATTACTTTGCTCGAATTATTGGCCGCTTGTTCCGTCCTTCGTTAATTAATTCCGAGCAGAATTTAAATATAATTATTTATTTAAGTTATTATCTAAATTTATCTAATTTATTTATTATCTAATTTAAGTAATTTTTAATATATGCAATCAGATGCGATGCAATGTATGTACTTTATTTACACTACACACATAATTCATGCAAATACATATATAGAACGGAGAATTATATTATATAATTAATTTATATTCATACAATAGGTATAGAACACAATTATATAAATTAATTTTATTTCCTTTTGCCTCTGTAATTTTTATTTTGCCCCTAATAATAATGGGCAGAAGATAATTGGTACAAGAACCGCATAAACCGCTCTTGTTGAATTCTCGCTCCTGTCCTTTTTCCTCGGTAATCTGTAAATTATTAAAAAGACTGGATTAGTATATATCAAACACGCGCCCGCGTGCGCGTGCGCGCGCACGTACCATGCACACGCACACACGCACACACACACGAAAATATAAAACTATGCGTAATATGTTCTTTATTTATGTTTTTTGTTGTAATATTTTATTCTGGATGTCAGTACACTGTCGCACACTTTGCTACGAGAGCTGCGACTCAATGCAGGAATATATAAATGAACAGAATAAACGGTATCGTATATTACGAGTTGTAATAACTGAACGCACTTTAATATATAAAGAGAAACGATAAAAGGCTTTGTACGCAACGTACTTCTAGAAAACGCAAGAAGCGGAAGAGAGCGGAAGACAAGGAAGCATCTCCAGCGCCGTCTCTCTAGTAATATCTAATATCTTTACGCGCGTGCGCACACATGCATCCATGCATCTAGTTCTCGCGGTACATTCAAATTGCTGTTGCACTCTAACACGCATTCCAACATTTTTGTACTTACTTGATTTTCTCCTAGCATCGTTTAGAGCAGCGACTGGAGCGGTGGCTGGATCGGCAGTTGGAGCGGCGATGTCGACGACTGGAGCGACGGCATCGACGGCTGAAGCGGCGGCGGCAGCTGCAGCGACGATGGCTCGAACAGCGGCGCGACGGCGCAGACGATTATTTTCTATCTCAAAATAAACATAGTTAAAGATAACAGATTTAAAGATATTGAAATAAATAAAGATATTAAAATGTATAAACAAAAATAAATACAGATATAAAAATTTGAAATTTTATATTTTTTTACATACCTTGTAAGTTATTTAAAATTAAAAAATAAAATTAATTTATGTGCTGTTCTTACAACTAAAATACTAATAGCTGGACAAGCTTATAAAGTTATGAATGCTATATTTCATCATAGTCCATGTATCGAAAAGGGTCATTATACAAGTATGTGTAGAGAAGGAACATCTAACACTTGAATTGAAATTGATGATGCTCAAGTTAGAAAACAGCAATGGTCTAAAGGTGCTAAAGATATTTATATATTATTTTTACAAAAAATTATTACTAAACATATGTATTAATTAGGTCAGTCATCAGGAGGTAGGGTTTTAGTCGGTAGGCGACGTCGATGGAATCAACTAGCGGACCATCGGCATTGAATCCGACACATCCTGTAGTACGGGCTGCATGGTGTCTTCCCTTTATAATGGGATTGTCTTGGATCAGGACTTGGATCCTCTCCCAATGGCTTAGTTTACACCGTTAAATTAATTGATACGAGTATCAGGTTGGTGCGGACTAAGTACTAATTGATACGCCACTGTTTACACCGATTTATTTCGAAATAAATTAAGATAGGTTTTTAGATTTTTCATTTCACAAAACTTCTAATTCTAATTTTAATTTTAAAGCAACTTTAACCTAATGCAGCCGTGACGTATTTAATCCGATTGAAAACGAACTAAGTATTTACAGTGCGTCAGAATCTTTTGATACGCGTACTATTTTGGTCTGATACTAGCGATTCAGGAGTATCAGACCAGACCGTACTAAGATAATTCGCGAACGTTTACACCGACCGTATCAAGCGATTTGATACGGATTTGGTACTTAGGGTGCGTTCCGATATTCACTTGCAGTACTGGCAGCACTGCAAATGCTGTTCCGATATACGTCGCAGTAAACTTTCAGAGTGCTTTCGCATGCATATGACGTCATAGATTTTGTCGTCACGTCCTGCTTCGATTACTGCGGCTGGCGAGGTGAGGCAGTTGCAGTAAAAACATGGCGACGTCCATA